TCAACCATCATGGGACCATCATGATTAGCTTGGCCCCCTGAAGGACATGGGGGGCAGGAGGATGAACCAAATCAGGCAGAAGGGGGAATGGCTAATAGGAAGTTAACCAATAGTGTCTGCCACACTGGGAACTCCAAAAAGAAATCCTAAATATTGAGAGGAATGAAACATAATTTACAAGTGTCTGTATAGGACTGAAGACTGGAGATCAAATACCCTTTCACTGGCGAATATTGGCTGCAGATTGTCTAGAGGCCAAAATAAGAACTAGCTCAAGGAAAATAACGAGCAAGTCTGTAGTCCACGACTAGGCTGTATGTCACCATCGGCAGGGCCTGATGTCCTCTTCCCTCCTGCCTGTGACTCAGACATCCACAGGGTAGCACTGTCAGCATGCGGGGGCCTTAGAGGAATGGATTTTATATATATATGAGGTTCCATTTGGTAATTTTCCAGAAGAACATTTTTGAGCCAAATGAGTGGGTAGATGGAATCTGATTAATAAAAGCCCTTAGCAAAGCCTTCTTTGTTCCTTAAGTGTGCAGGTGACAGGAAGGAGGACTCTCACCCAGGCTGAGGCTATTTTATTCTGCTAGTAGAGAGGAAACTGCAAACCTACAGGCTCTAACAACCTGTAGCTTTATTGAGCCATTTTTTTCTGCAATTTTCTAACAACTGTATCTTAAGGGAACGGTTCAGTTGGATAAATCAGTCAGTCAGTCGAAAAATATTTATTGACCACCTACTATGTGTCAGGCACTCTTCTCAGTGTTGGGGAACAAGTTAGATAAAGTGCCTGCCCACAGGGAGCTTTCATTCTAGTGATGGAGGGCAAAAATAAACACAAACAAATAAATAAGATAATTTGGGTAATGACAAATGCTATGGAGAAGATGAAGTGAGGAATTATGATAGAAAGTGACTGAGGGGAAGGCTTGTCTGAGGAGAAGGGGATATTGGAGTTGAGACCTAAACAATGAGAAAGAGGCAGCCATGAAGTGACTGCAAGGAAGAGCATTCCAAGCAGAAGGAATAGCAAGTGCCAAGGCTCTGAGCTAAGAACTAGCTTAGCATGTTTGAGGAACAGAAAGAAGATCCATGTGGTTGCGTGAGAGTGAATGGTGGGAAGAGTGGGAGGAGATGAAGTCGAACAGGAGAGCAAGGGTTTTATTGTCAGAGAATGGAAAAGCTAGTGAAGGGTTTTCAGTAGGCAAGTGCTGTCATTTACACTTTTGGACAGACCACTCTAGCTGCCGTGTGGAGGATGCACTCTTTGTTAGGAGGCAAAAGTAGAGGAGATGATGGTGGCCAAGACCAAGAAAGGAAGAAAGAACTAGGGAAGAGTAGATACGGAGCCTGGGGACACTTCTACCTGTCGTTTCTGCTGCCACTCTGTTAGGTCGCTTAAGTAGCATTAATCACAGTGTGTCTCTTGCTTCTGCTTTACTCTTTCCTGGAATGACAGGCATACATGGGAGAGGTTAACATTTGATTTTGGAGTCAGACAGACATGAGTTTCAAATTCTGACCCTGACATCTCCAAGTTGTGTGACCATCCCTTCTTCTGTCTGGTAAATTTCCTCAATCTGGTCTCCGGAATCACTAATTCATTCTTCAGTTATTCCCTCTGTCATATTTATCCCATCTTTTATTTTTCTTTATTTAAACTATTATAATTTCTTATGCCTAATATTTCTACTTGTTTACTTTTCATGTTTCCTAGTTTTTTGTTTCCATTTTGCTATCTTCCCATAACTTCTTTTTTAATATATTTATTAGCCTTTTTAAAAATTTCTTGTTGCATATATTTTAGTATTTCTTTTCTGTAGGAATCTGTAATCCAGTAGATTGTTTATTTGTTGGCTGGTTAGTTTTTGAAAAGACTGTACTCCTCAAATGTCCTGATATTTTGGCCTGTGAGTACATCTGTCCCTTGAGGATTTCAGCCAGACCTAGTCTCCACTGGAGTCTGGTCAGCTCCAATGAGCTCAGGAGGTGGGGTGTGGACGAGCCCCAGGCACAGTAAAATCACAGCAAACTACTCCCCATCCTACAAAATAACTTCCATCAGGCCTCCACGTTTTGCTCCTCAGGAAGAAGTAATGTTAGGAGAGCAGTTGCTTTCCCACCCCTGGGGCATGTGGAGGTAGAAGAGTGTAGACGCAATTGCCCAAGGTCAGTTGTTTTCCAAGATTTTGCTATTATTGTTTCAGCTACTGCAGAACACAGGACTTCTGCCTTGTCTGATTTAACTCTTGAGGACACTTAGACCAGAGTCTGAAATTTCACAGAGTAGAGTAGTTTGTCCCAAGGCAATAAGGGGAGAAGCAAAAGCAGAATTACAATGGTCCCTCTTCCCCATTTTATCCTCCCACAACTATATCTCCTGCCCCAGACCCACGTGGCCATCTGACTGAGGTTGGGTTGCCCAGGAAACAGGCTCTGAGACAGAGATTGGTGTGAACTGAAGGCTTATGATGGAGTGCTCTGGGATAAACACCTGTGAAAGGGAAGGAAAGGATACAGAATTGGGCAAAATGAGAAGTATTGTGATGCAATACCAAGGAAGACTTCAGCTGACCCCACAGGGAGCTCTGAAGCTAGGATGGTCCTTCTAAGTTGTTCTGAGATACAGCAAGCGTTCCAGGCCCTTATATCCACATATCAACCAATCACTGAATTTGAGCTGCCCCAGAAAGTGGGCATGACCTTGGGCAAGGCGACTCTCTTCACCAAGAATATTCCCAGAGGATGCTAACAGCTGAGGTCTGTCAGCTAGCAGTGCTCCGAGCAGTTGGGGAAATAAATCCTTCCTTCCTAAAAGGCGAGCTGGTGGCACATCACAGCACCCACTATACCACCCCACACATTGACAGATTTAAAATAGCCTCCACTGCCCCAGGGGTTTGTCACAGTGTGGTAGTTCAAAATTGGCCACCTCAAAATATGTCTTTTTTTTACCTTGGTTATTTTATTGATAGACTGGGAGGGTCCTTGCTAAGACCAAATATTTACATTTATAAGGGAAGTCTCCACTTGTAAAGGTATCTCCCTCTCTGTACCTGGAAGAAGGGGGGATGATCTTATCTCTAGAAACTCTTATCAGTGTGGAAGGCAGACTGAAATCTGCATACTCCTGATTGCTGTGATTTCTGGTGGTCTCCCATGTCTGACTCCTCCACCCCCAATGTCCTCCTTTGTCTACCTGAATATGCTATTTAGGGTGAAAACCTCTGCCATTCATCAAGAAACTCAGTTTCCCTCTTTTCTCCCATGTATACATGTCATAAAGCTTTGTTTGATTTTTTCCTGCTATTTGGTCTCATGTCAATTTAATTTGTAGCCCAGTCAGAAAGGACCCAGAGTGGGTAAAGGATAGTCTTGATCCCCTTCAACAGTTTTCTCATTTTCTCTCTCTATGTCCTCCAAGGTTTTAGGATAGGGGAGGACGGGAAGCCAGTAGTCATGCTAGTTCAGCATGTTAGTAGGGACCATAGTGAGTCCAGGAACTTTTACTCCTGAGGAACTGTGTAACTCATTTCCTCTCTTTCTGTGCTCTGTCTCATGTGAGCTGTCATGCTCCTCTGGGGCAGATGTACTTGAGCTGAATTGTTCACTCTAGACCTCAACTCTCCCTCGCTGAGAGCTTCACTTTTCCTGGGAAGCTGAAGTTAAGTGGGTCCTCTAATTTAATTCTTTTTTTTTTTTTTTTTTTTTTTTTTGTGAGGAGATCAGCCCTGTGCTAACATCTGCCAATCCTCCCCTTTTTTTTCCTTTTGCTGAGGAAAACTGGCCCTGGGCTAACATCCGTGCCCATCTTCCTCCACTTTATATGGGACGCTGCCACAGCATGGCTTGCCAGGCGGTGCGTCGGTATGCATCCAGGATCCGAACCGGCGAACCCCGGGCCGCCACAGTGGAGCACGTGCACTTAACTGCTTGCGCCACCTGGCTGGCAAGTGGGTCCTCCAAAGACCAACCAGAGCTGAGCAGAGGTGCGCTGTGGTTGAAGGAGCCTCACCTGACGGCTCTGCAGAGACACCAAGACCCCTGGGCCTGGGGGATGGCAATATTTTCCAAGGGACGCGAGTCTGTCCTGTGAGCCCCACAGAACCCCCCATCATTTCTCAAGCCCTAGATCCTCACCTCAGAGCAACTCCAGGTTTTCTTTCCAACAAGATTATTCTGATGGCAGTGGAAGGAGTGGGTACTGCGGAAGGTACAAGTGGAGACAGAGGCCAGTTAGAGGCCTGTGACAGTGTGCTGGTTTTAAAATGTCCACAGATTCTTTAATACTCCACTTCTCAAGAGATGGAACCTAATTCCCCTCCCCTGGAGTGTAGGCTGAGCTCAGTGACCGGCTTCTAAGGAAGAGACTAAAGCAAAAGTGATGGCGTATGACTTCAGAGACTAGGTCACAAAAGTAAGCAAAGTAAATTAAACGAAGAAAAAGACATGACAAAAGCAGCTTGTCCTTCAAGAGATTTATCTGTGAAGAGAAGGAGTAATGTGCTAATGCCAATAGGGGCCATCAGGATTTTACCTCTTTCTTTGCTCTAACGCTAAATAGCCCTAGCCTTTGTCTTTTTCCTTTTCTAATTTACTCTTCGTTGAATGTCTGACTCTTTTGTTAATCTTTGCCTTTGAGCTATCATTTCTTCCAAACTTAGAAGGCAGCCCTCTCCTCAGTGTAGAATTATCAGGTACTAAATTTCTGTAGATCCAACTGGGCTTGTTAGAATAGTGGGTAAAATAGAGAACAATTTCTGCTTGGGAAACTTTCAGCTTGAAAAATGCGTGATACAAGATCAAGGCGTAAGTCAGATCAGCTTCTTAGATGAGACATAAACCTAGATTCTAACCAGGTAGGCGCTTCAGGTCCTACCAAACTTCTCACAGCGGGGAAAATACAGGAGCAGAAGTCAGGATGCAAGTGCTGGCTCTGGCTCCCCCTGCTCATTCTTGTAACGCCTCTGGTGTTGTTTCCTCTCCCTGACTAGCCGTCATCCTTTTCTTCCTGCCATTCCAAACCCCCTGAGAAGTCAGCTAGAAGACAGACTGAACAATCAGGAGCGCACCATAGCTTTCCTCCTTGAACAAGCCTTCCGCATCAAGGAGGACATCTCTGCTTGTCTTCAGGGGACCCACGGCTTTCGAAAAGAGGAGTCGCTTGCCAGGAAGCTACTGGAAAGCCATATCCAGACCATCACCAGCATCGTCAAAAAACTCAACCAAAACATTGAGGTAGCTCTTTATTTCCTATATGTTGGCAAAGACAATCAACCACCGATGTCATTTTTCAGCTATAGAAATGAGTCACTATTGTTTAAGTTTAAATGGTTACAATTTAGTTGCCTCAGAGGGAAACAGTCCAATATTTCAACTGCTCGTTTATGCCAAAAAGTAGAAGGAAATTCTATTCAAAAAACGTTCACTCAATATTTATTTTGTGACAGTAAAGACAATTGTTTAACATTATGGCAGACATTGTGCTAAGGTGCTTATTTTAGCCTAAATCTTCAAGATTCTACTAATGTAATCATTTCCGAGAGAGGTTTTCATAATGCATTGGCAATGCTGATTCATAGGCCCATTACAATCTGACCCCAACAATCTCTCTGACTCCATCTCCCACCCCTCTCTCATTCACTCTGGCCATACTGGTCTCCCAGCTCTTCCTAGAACATACCAAACATGCTATGGCTTCAGGGCCTTTGCACATGCTATTCACTTTGGCTGGATCATCTTCACCTAAATATTTCTATGAAATGTTCTTCATTTCCTTCAGGTCCCTGCTCAAATATCACCTTATCAGAAAGGATTTCCTTGACACACTATAATAGCACCCCTCTCAAGCCCAACAGTCACAATCTCCCTTAAACCCTCCGTTACTTTTATTCATAGCCTGTATCGCAAACTATTATAGCTTATATTTGTTTATGGTTTGTTTCCTCTTCTAAAATATAATCTCCATGAGGGCAGGGACTTTGTTTGGTTCACTGCTAAGTCCCACACCAAATGATGACAGTGTATGAGAGGTAGTCAGCACTCTGTAAATATTTCCTGAATAGATGAATAAATGAATGAATGGTGTTTAAGGTGTTAAAGGGAAAATATTTGAGTTTCTAATCAAAAAAGAAAATGCTTGGGTTAAACCAAGATAAACAGATTTTTACTACAGATCTTTCGGAGTTTTTAAAGTGCTAATGAGCGTATTGAATTTGGGATAGCAGCTTTCAACAAAGTTTCCAGGGAATAGACTTTAGGAAACTGACCAAAAATTTGTGGAATTATGAGAACTGACAACAATCGCCTCCCACAATACATGTCTTTTCTACTCTCAGAGAATTGTGGATTAAAGAAAAAAACAAACAAACAAAAAACATGAGATTGACCCAGCAATGACTTCCCCATGACTTTGTATTTAAGACTAAGGATATTTATTAATTTATTTTCTATCTGTATGGTCTGGCAGACCCCATAATGCATTTGAGGGAGGGCGGAAAGTTTAAAAGCCCTAGTGAACTTTTAAAAGGCACTTTATTAGTATTTAGCACATATTGAATTGACCCTCGTGCCTAAAAAATCAATGCTACTTCTCAAAGTGGTCAAAGGTGTTTACAGGCATCATAAAGTATCATGAAGATGACAAGAGATAAGCAGTTCAGTGCCTTTGAGATGATGAGAAGATCAAGTACATACAGCACTAGCACCAAAATAAGATCCTAATTTAGGACTCACAACTTCTTGGTAACTGAAAAGAGAACAGCATCCTCAGAAATGTCAAAATGCTTCTAGAATATTCTATATTTTGATTTGGGTGGTTATTACACAGTTGATTATATTTGTCAAAATCCATCCAGATATATACTTTGATTTGCACATTTGAATACATATTAATTATACCCCCAATAAAATACTCAGCATTAGGGGGAAAAAGTTTCCAGATCTCTAGAAATCTTGCTGAGAGCTTCTTTTCCTATAGTAATTGATTACCTTAGATTAGCTCTGAAAACAGACAAAGCCAAAACATTTTCCAAATACTATAAAATTTCAGAATGTTTGCAATCCTGTTAAGGGTTTGGCATATATAGGGAAAATGAGAAGGACTGGTCTGATTGTGAAAAAAACTGAATTAGAAAATAGTTAACCGCTGTAGATAATGTAGTTACAACATTATGAAGAATAAACAATTAGGCTACCTTTAGCAAATAACTGAGACGAAGCACTTTATAGAGAAATGGATGCTATTCAAGTATTTTTCAAAAACCTAAACACATTAACCAGATCAGCCCATTTGCAGATGGGCCAGCAAGACAGATCCAGGTGTGAGCTGAGGCTTGGCTTGGGTCTTTAAAAGGAATGAAAAAAACACTTTTTTTAATCAACTATAATTGCAGCAGTTAAGTTGCTTGTTCCTTTTCAAAATCAAATTATTTCTGTTTTTAAGCTGGCAGCTAATTATAAATTTTAAAATTAATTTTTAATTCAAGAAAAGAGAATTTTATGTATATTGCTTTATTGTGTTTTTTTCCCCAACTTATAAAAGCAATACTTGTTAATTGTAATTATTTTGAAAGTTTAGGAAAAAATTGTAAAACCTGAGAAAAAATTTCTCACAATTCCACCACCAAATGGCAATCTCTACCAATACCCAGATGCATCTCCCTCTAGTCTTTCTGGGCATTCCATTTAGGAGGCTGAGACTACATTCATAAGCACAATCTTTAATATAAAATTATATCATAAACTCTTTCATATATCATTAAAAGCTCTTTGCATGGTCCATACACCATGATTTGCTTAATTATTCTCCTAATATTGAAATATCTTTGTGCATAATTATGTGTCTGCATTTGGATTATTTCCATAGTATATATTCTTAGAAGTGGAATTATCTGGGTATGAACACTGTGAAAGCTCTTGATGCATGTTGTCTAATTGGTTTCCAGAAAGTTTATACCCATTTACACTTCCATCAGCATTACATGAGAGTGCTTTTTTCATTGTGCCTATGCCAGCATAATTTATTGTTTTAATCTTTGCTAATTCGATGGGATAAAAATGAGATCTTTCTCTTTTTTCACTTTGTAAAATTGACTATAATAGGGGCCAGCCTAGTGGCATAGTGGTTAAGTTTGCATATTCTGCTTGGGCAGCCCAGGTTTCACAGATTCGAATCCCAGGTGTGGACCTACACACCACCCATCAAGCCATGCTGTGGCAGCGTCCTACAAACAAAATAGAGGAAGATGGGCACAGATGTTAGCTCTAGTGACTATAACAATTTGCACTTTCTCTGTCAATAATCTGTTAATGTCTTTTGCCAGTTTGTCTTTTGGAGTCTTAGTGCTTTTTAACTTTTATTGATTTGATGATCTTTTTATTAATTGAGGATAATAACCAGTGATAGGTTGGTAAATGTCTAACAATCAGCAATTAACTTTTTTCTGGGGGATAAAAACCTGGTTTATAGGGGCCAGCCCAGTGGCGCAAGCAGTTAAGTGCACGTGCTCTGCAGCGGCGGCCCAGGGTTCACTGGTTCGGATCCCAGGAGCGCACCGACCCACTGCTTGTCAGGCCATGCTGTGGCCGGCATCCCATATAAAGTGGTGGAAGATGGGCATGGATGTTAGCCCAGGGCCAGTCTTCCTCAGCAAAAAGAGGAGGATTGGCAGATGTTAGCTCAGGGCTGGTCTTCCTAACAAAAAAAAGCAACAAAAAAAAAAAAACCTTGTTTATAGTGTTTGCCTATTTCCATGGTGTAAATACTCTTACTTTGATTGATTTCAAACACCAACTGACCAACTGACGTTACTGAACACAAAGATGGGAAGAGATATGCACAATTGGCTCTCACAAACGGATGCATAGTGATTGTAGCACATCACTGAAACCCTTGGCAATAGCGTTTGTTATTAAAGTTTTTCCAGTTTGTTGTTTATGTCTTAATCATATTTACAATGTTTTTTGCAAGTTTTATATAAAGTTAAACATTCCAGTATTTTGCTTTGTGATTTCTCTCATTTCTTTTAAGAATAGAAATGTCGTCATTCGGAGATTAAGTAATCCCCTCTATTATCTGTTATTTTTATGGTTTAACTTTATATTTGAAATCTATCTTTTCTAAAATCTACATTGATGCATGTCATGAGGTAAGGATCTAAATTGATTGTTTTCTGAAGAGGTAACCAGAGATTCCAACACCATTTGTGAAATTCCTCCCCCATTGATTTTTCAGTCTAATGTATAGCATATTTCTTTCTTACATTTACCAAGGTCTTCATTAAATTACATTGATCTATTTAGCTATACACATCTATTTAGCTACCCTGATTTACTCATCCTTGTTTATAAAATGTTTCAGTGTTTGGCAGGGCAAGTTTCCTTTCATCACTATTCTTTATCAAAACAAAGCAAAGCATCACCTACTGCTGTGGTCTGGATGTTTGTGTTCCCACCAATATTCACAGGTTGAAATCCTAATGCCCAAGGTGATGGTATTAGGAAGTGGGGCCTGTGAGAGGTGATTAGGTCATGAGGGTGGAGCCCTCAGGAATGGGATTAGTGCACTCATAAAGGAGATCCCACAGAGCAGCCTAGTCCCTTCCACCATGGGAGGACACAGCAAGAAGTCGGCCATCTGCAACCCAGAAGAGGGCTCTCCCCAGAACCCGACAACGCTGGCACCCTGACCTCGGGCTTCCAGCCTCCAAAACTGTGAGAAATAAGTTTCTGTTGTTCATAAGCCACCTAGTCTGTGGTATTTTCTTATAGCAGCTCAAATGGACCAAAACACCCACACACATGCAAGAACAAACAAACAAATGAAGGAAAACTCTAGCTAAAGTTTTTGACACTTTTATGTCTTCAATTAAAGCTTTATTTGCTCTTCGGTTGTTTCAATCTGCCAGTTGACAAATGGGCAAGATTCTGTATATGGTTTTTGAAGTTTCTATAATTCATTTGCTACAAAAATCCTTCTTTTGCCCCCAAAATTCATAAACATAAGTTTAAACATAGTTGAGGCCTTGTTCAAATATAGCAACTAAACTTGAATGTTTCCCCATATCATAAATTTGTCTGTGTTTTCCAATGTCCTATACTCTCACTTATTTCTAAGTAAATACAAATTATTTTTTATGTCCTAACTTTACGTTGGAATTTGTTGAATGTCAAGTAAGATATAAATTTTTTCTATGGACAACCAGAATTTTTTCAATTATTAAATTAATACTTATATGTGAGTGCAAAAAATTAAAAATCACTGTTCTTAGGGCCACCAATCTAGCGGTATAGGACAGTCAGCTTTATTTCAGAACATCAAGACATAATGAAGACATGACTAAGGATACTCAAGGACAAAATCTGAACACACTCGAGCCATAATCTCTCATCTTCTCTATAAATTCTAGAACAATAAACCTCTTTCACTGTGAGTTTGTGAAACGGTTTGATTCAGATTTGCTTGTGTTAGTTGTATTAGCTTCATTATGGTTTTGATTCAATCTGTAAAGGGCCTTGCCTGGTGTCATATGAAAGATCCCATCTTCTAAACTTACCACCAATCCTGAAATAGGTTTTCATGGAAGCTTTTAGATCAACCATGGCCAAATGGCAACCCATGGCCATAACAGCACAATAAATATGTTTTGCTTGGCCCATATAGTGTTTATAAAAGATTTGGAATAAGATGTCACTATTTAAAAATTGAGAAATTTAACATAAAATCCAGATTTCTGGATTCTGTTGAAACACTGTTGAACCCTCATTCCCACCTGGCAACAATCAGCTGGAATCAAGTCATCACTGCCTCCCTCAGATAAAGCAGGGATTGCTTCTCTCTGACATAGGACACTCTCTCTCATCTACACTATCAGCCTAATTAGGAAATGCATTCAATTTTGTAACCTCTGCTTTAAATGTTATTTTCTTATCATGTGTTATGGGAAATTAATGGGAATTTTAACCCAAAATTACAGATTTTAGAAGACCAAATAAGAGTTCGAGATCAGGCGGCCACAGGAACTAATTTTGCAGTACAGGAGCTCAACACCAAGCACCTTCAAGGAGTCGGAGATCTTCGAGGAAGAGTAGCCAGGTAAGAAGAAGCATATTAACTAATGTTTAGCAGTCACTGCTTGGCCGCTGAATTCTCATTCCCAAATAAGTTCCATATTGCAGAAAATAAGATACTCTCTTTACATTAAGCTAAACTAATGAGATGGTAGTTGAGAAAGTGTGTCATGGAATTTGAAAACCTCATGCTACCTGTGAACATCCAAGGTGTCTATAGAAGTCCCTTTATATAGAATGTCCAGTTCAGTCCTTAAGTGACGAGAGTCTTGTCTTTATAGCCCTCAACTGTCCAAATGTCAACATCTGTACAAAGACACACCCTCATAACCACGTATAAATTCCCCAGATGTGTCAAATTCTAATGATTAAAACATTTAAAATAAACGAGAATTATATATAAAAGTCTAAGAGCGGCCAGCCTGGGGGCAAGGTGGTTAAGTTCACGTGCTCCGCTTCAGAGGCCCGTGGTTCACAGGTTCAGATCCCAGGTGCAGACCTACACACCACTCATCAAGCCATGCCATGGCAGCATCCCACATACAGAAAAATAGAGGAAGATGGACACAGGTGTTGGCTCAGAGACACTCTTCCTCAAGCAAAAAGAGGAAGATTGGCAACAGATGTTAGCTCAGGGCCAATCTTCCTCAGACACAAAAAAAAAGTCTAACAAAAGGGATTTACTGCCAAATGGATAAAATTTTGAATAACATCTTTTGTATGAGATTTCTAAATCAAAAGAATTAATGGTACACAGTTCTGCAAAAATCTGTACTCATTGACAATGGCAGGACAACTTGGGTAGACACATCAAAGATGCCTTGTAAATGGCTGACCAGGGACGCTTTTCCATCTCTGCCTCTTCCTCCAGCACCTCTTTCCTCACTCCTGGAAGGCCCCTACCTCCACCTAGTTAATCCACTCTGGAGTGTTCATGACCAAATAAGAATTAGGTGTTTAACACCTAGGATAAACCTCCCCATTCAATTCAACAAAAATGTATTAAGCACTTACCATATGCCAGGCAGTGTACTAGGATTCAGGGATTCAACAACACAGCCCTCTTCCTATACCTGTTCAGTCTACCTGGGAAAACAAGCCCCAAATATAAGCAATGAGATGAACACTGTAATGAAAGCCTGGGGTGCTATGAGAATACCCAAATCAGATTGAGGCATAGGGAAGACTTCCTGGAGGAGGTGATACTTGAGATGAGTTTTAAAAGATTTGTAGCAATTAGCTAAACAAGGAAGGGTGGGAAAGACACTTCACATAGGAAAAATAACATGCACGAAAGTACTGAGGGATGAATTATTGTGACATGTTCCAGGGCCTGCTTGTAAGAAGAGTATTTTAGTTGTGGTATTTGGGGATTTGCATTTAGGGAGAGATGGGAGATTGGGAGATGAAGCTAGAGAAGTGGTCCAGAGTTGGATGATGAGGAATCTTGTGGGCCAACGTAAAGAGTTTGAACTTTATGTAGAAGGTTATAAACAGACATGGGAAGATTTGAAGTAAGGGATGACATATCATATTTAGTGACATTCTAGTAGTAGCTGAATTGGTGGGGTACAAAAAGAAGGCATGGAAATGGAAGGAGGCCTATTGCAGCAATCAAGGTAAGAAATATCAAGGACCGAAACTAACACGCTAGCCATGAAAGTCCAGAGCAGGTAACAGACAACACAGACATTAGGAAAACAGAATCTAGAGGATTAGTACCTATGTGTATGTGTGTATATCTGTATACACACACATACATACATATATCATTATTTATATTATGTACAAATATTTTATACTTCTAAAATATATTATATAATATTTGATACATACAAAAGAATTTTTATAATATTTGGGTAAGTTATGAAGCAAGATAATAAAACAAAAACCAACAAACCCACCACCCTACTTAGATGTGCCATGATTTTGCGAAGAAGATAAACACCAAATATCTGTTTTGAATGAAACTTGGAATTTGGTTCAGTTTGGTAGTGTGATGACGACACTTCAACTATTTAATTTTTTCTGCAAGCTTTTTACAAATCTATTATTTTATTCTTGTAAATTCTGTCTTACATGCAAGACACAATAACAAATTTAAATGAAACCAAGAGATGAATAGAATAATATCAAGGAAAGATATGCAACTCTTTTTGTTCTGCTCCAATTTCTTTTTTTCTTTCCTTTTTTAAAAAATAAAAATTGTATATATTTAAGGTGTACAACATGATGATTTAATACATATGTACATAATAAAATGATTACTATAGTCAAACTAGTTAATATTATCTTCTCACATAGTTACCATTTTTTGTGTGTGATGAGAGCGCTGAAATTTACTCTCTTAGCACATTTCCATTCTTTAATACAATATTATTAACTATAGTCATCACGCTGTACATTAGGTCTCTAGACTTATTCTTCCTACATAATTGCAACTTTCTCCCATTTGACCAACATCTCCCCATTTCCCCCACCTCCTCACCCCGGTACCTACTGTTCTGTTTTATGTATTCGACTTTTTTAGATTCCACATATAAGTGAGATCATGTGGGTTTTTTTCTTTCTGTGTCTAGCTTATTTCACTTAGCATAATGTCCTTCAGGTTCATCCATGTTGTTGCAAATGGCAACATCTCCTTTTTTGAGGCTGAACATTTCATTGTTCATTGTATGTGTGTATCACAATTTCTTTCTTCATTCATCCGTTGATGGATACTTAGGTTTTTTCCATATCTTGGCTATTGTGAATATGCAATGAACATGGGAGTACAGATATTTCTTCCAGGTACTGGTTTCATTTCCTGAAACCAGGAATATATATCCAGAAGAAGGATCGCTGGATGATATGGTAGTTCTATTTTCAGATTTTTGAGGAACCTCCATACTATTTTCTATAATGGCTGCACCAATTTACATTCCCACCAACAGTGTGCAAGCATTCCCTTTTCTCCACATACTTGCCAACACTTGTTATCTTTTTTTTTTTTTTTTTTTGTAATAGTTATCCTAACAGTATAAGGTGATATCTCATTGTGGTTTTGATTTGCATTTCCCTGATGATTAGTGATGTTGAGCACTTTTCATATACCTGTTGGCCATTTGTATGATCATCTTTGAACAAATATATATTCAAGTCCTTTGCCCATTTTTTAATCATGTGGCCGTTTAAAATCACCTCTTTGTTTTCTATAGTCCTGGGGGACTCACAAATGAGTCTCCTCAGCTCTCAGAGCTAGGTGATTTGGAAGACGGTCTCTCGGTGGCAGCCTTAAAAGTTGGCGTGCTAGATGTGTGGTCCAAGCCCTTTGCTCCTCAGGGAGGGGCTGGTATTTGGGGGTTCCCTCCCAATTGTAAGGTGCCATGCCAAGGATGGGGTTTATGGCATGAGCGTGCCTCAGCTCTTCCTACCCATTTCAATGTGAGTATTTTCTTAGTTGACTGATGTGTAGGAGTCTCTAAACTAGTTTCTGGATTTTTCTCAAAGGGAATTAATTGATCTGTGTGTAGCTGTTTATTTAGTGCATCTGAGGGAGGAAGGAAAATCAAGAGCCTCCTATTCCTCCATTGTGCTCTCCAATTACTTACTTACCTTCCCCTTCAATATTAAGTAGTGATTTTAGGACAAGGTCTTATTTTTCCTCGAAATGTCTCCCTTTTATGAAAATTTCTTAAATCCATTTGGTAATCTGAGACAGAATCTGGCTAAAAGCCCTGAAACTTAAATTTATCCTTCTTTTCCTTTTTCTTTTCTGTATTTTGCGCCTAATCGACAAGCTGAGGCAGATTAATTGCTGTCTTCCTGAATATATTGACCTCAATTCCAATTAGCATTTTGGCATAAGTGAAATTAAGTTGATTATTTTCATGTAATTCCTAGGAAACATTTTACTGCTTCATAAATCAAACTCAATATTTGATAACAACAATGTGCTTTGAATTTTACACCTTACTTCCCACCCCAATATAGTGGCAATTTAAAAGCAAGAACTTCCTATGAGATGAGGTTCTCAAAGTTGTCTGGCCTGCTTTTGACACCCTCTCCTCTGTTCGGTAGATTAGTCTCAAGTGCAAAAAAGAAAAAGGTGCGTATGTAAAGGGCACCCCTAGGGATGGCTGGGACTTCCAATCTGTAGCAGCCGCCTAACCACATTTGGCTATTTGGGACCCCAAGGCAGACATGCATATGAAAAAAATGATAAATTGTGTTGATGTGTGATTAAAAGCAAAAGTCATGTCCTTTGAAGAAACAATAATGATATTATGGATACTGCCAACTTTTGAAAAGTTAAGAATGGGGACTTCTGGTTAAAGATAGTAGAATAAAGATGTTTACTCCACTCCTCTCACTTGAGACATCTCAATGCCTGTTAAAAATAAAAGAAGTAATAAAACTCCATCTATAATATAACATGGAAGTTGCCACAACTACTAACCACCAACAGAGCACACTTACCAAATACCGGGCTGTTTGGACTGATAGAGTCCTCCTCAGACCTTAAACATAATGATTTTCTCCGAGTCAAGAGTCATAATCCCGAAAGGCATAGGCCAAATAATTTGCATAGAGCAATATTGCCTAGGGGCTTGGCTGGGTCATAGGAGAGATAGAAAATGTCCGTTTAGAGATTTAGGTCAGCAACACAGAACAGCTGAGGAGGTATATACGGCTGAGGATGCCATCATGTTATTTATCATCTAGGGATTCTTTCCTTGCCAAGTCATACCTGAAAGAAGTGCAACAGGCTGAGAAAGAGGAGGTGATAGTATCACAACGAAGAATCTATGACTTAATGATTTGCTGTGAGATACACCAATCTGATTTTTGAGGAGAAAATGAAGCCTAAGAAAATAACAGATTTGCTATTACAAGCCTGAGTAAAGGAGGTGATCTACTCCCCACCAAGCACATGCTCACTATCTTCTGCAGGTAGCCAGAATCGTTCACAGATGTTAAGAGTGGTAGTTAGGAAGAATCTATACTGTGCTGAAAAGTCACCGCCACCACCATCCTTAGATGGAT